TGTCTATGTATGCTTTGGGGGTATTCTTTCGTAGTATTTTGAATGTTGTCTGAGTTGGATTATTTTAAGGACAATGATCAGAGGCTGATCTACTTTTCAGGTCTGTTACAAAGCCCTCAGTTTCACCGCTCTTTTGAAACTCAGTTTCTCTATACCCTTATAAGGGGAAAAAGGGAAGGGAGTTAGCGAGTTCTCCATGTGTGCTGGCCAATAACGCACGTCATCAATTCTCTTCATGGCTATTTATGGGACATTTCTATCTGGAAATCGACTGCCACATTTTCCCACAAAATGCACAGCCACTGTACGATACAATAAATCCTGCAAAGCTCTGTGAGAATCTTGACAACATGACGAAGAACTGTAGCAAGTGTAAGGATTATTATTATATTGTAAGTTTCTCAGGTGGTTAAATGGATCCACACTGACACTCACTATCTAAGCTAACACGTGATGCATGCTTTCTCTGGTAAGGTAACAAGGAACTGCTTGCTTAACTGGCACCTGCTCAAGAGATGAGCTGAGGAGAGAACATTGAAAGGAAAAATTGCAAGGGATAGAAGATAGTATTGTTGAGTGATATCCATCTAACAAAATATATTGCATTTAATTCAGAGATGGAAATAGAATATGTACTATTGATCAACGTGCCCTCGACAGCATTTTCCATCTTGGATGACAACTACATTGATGGTCCTGACAGCAGCCAAACCCTGCATGAAATATTTAAAATGCTCATCAAGAGTTCACAAAGTGCACCAGGGCCAGAACTGGTTTTCCATGCACGCAGAACTCGTGATTTATGTGCAGCACCACTCTATGCTTTCAAGGGCGAATGGGGAGTCTGTGCCCATGGAATCCACACAGAGTCTTCTCCAACTCTGAGTTGGAAATTATTTTTTCTTAAACATTCTGGGTTTTAACTCTTCCTGGGTCGTAAGTGGCAACCAATCCCCATCCAATAGACCATCTGTGATTGAGAGTAATGAATTCCCAGACCTCAGTCAGTGCTGTTCTGAAAGGGTCTGCACAACAGAAAGCCAATGTTTGAGTTGGTCTCTTTCCTGTGCAATGTGCTGTGATGCTTGAGTGGCCTCAGTTATACGTTAATTTACTTTTACGAGGTTTCATTTACCTCAGTTGGCAGCACATTGCCTTTAGATCAGAAGGTTATGGACTCGAGCCCATGCCTGGTCTTTGAATTCACTTTAGGCCAACACTCCATTGAGGTGCTCTGCATTAGGGTAACACTGCATTGCTGAACAAACTGTGCTTTGGATTAAATGTTAAACTAAGTCCCTGCCTGGCTCCTTTAGTGGAAATCCACCAGAAGAGAATAAAATGCTCTCCCTTGCTCTCTCTCTCTAATTCTCCCCCCATGACACTTATTGAACCATATGAAACTGTCGAAGAGTCTGTTAAGAACATAAGAATTTGCTTGGTGAAGGAAGACCAAGGTCCATCCAGTTCGCCTTCCACCATCCTAACACTTGCATGCACATGTCGTGTCACAAACTATATACTGTATCCTGAGATATTATTTCCCCACAGAAATCTATCTGATTTGATTCGGGATCAAGTCCTTCGGAAGTCTAAGGGTTGGGGGAAGGAAAGGGATCATGTAGAAATAGCAGTTTGAGTGTGGCAGTGTAGACATTCTAATTGCGTCTGTTCTCCCCATGAACCGTCTGTGAAAATAAGCTTTGTCGTCTTCAATTAGTGGAATCTAACCGAACATAAGTTCTGCCAGCTTCAGTTCTCAAATATTTCAGGGCAGTCTTTGGGAAATGATTAGGCAGTAAGTAATATATCCCTAGGAGGCAGTTAAGCAAGATGGTAAAACCTTTTGAGATACCACGGTTTATTTTGTAACCTAAGATTCAGCCGCAGTTTCTAATTCGATTCCCTCTGAAACCATTGGCTCAAACTTGGCTTTTTATTGCCGGAGGCAGGGCAGGGGGAAACAACGACTAGAAAGTAAAGAGTGTTGAGTTTTGTTTCTGCAATTTCATGGTACAATTGGCAAACTTGATTGGGAACCGTAGGGTTTTGACGACTGTTGTCCCAACTGACGGAACCAATTGAAAGCTTGATTGGTGATGGAACATATGACTTGAGGGTCATTGATTGTGAAGGCATTTATTTATCATGCCCACCCAAGTAACAATTCTGTACATAACATACCTTTGAATGCAAGGTTTGTGCCATAATATTGTTGGGAGCAATTATCCAAACTGATTTAATGTAGAGAATAGTGGCATATAATGCAGATGATGTTTTTGGACAAATATTTTAAGACTTTTTAATTATTTTTATTCAATATTCTATATCCAGCTGGTATTTATGCATTAATAGAGATGTAAGAGTCCTGCTACTATGCTTTTATTAAAACCTTGGTGGATGACTGTACAAATGTTTTTTCTTGTTGGTGAGGATTTGTTTTACAAAAAAGTGAATTTTAAAAAAAAAGTATGCTGTCTGCACTTATTTTCTGTTGAAACATATGTTGAATTATCTTCAATAATTCTTTCATATTACTGCTCTCTCTGGAAATCCTGTAAGCTGTGCTGCCCCATTTTTGGAGCTTTGTGCATAATTTTCAAATTCTTTTATGTAAAATGTTATACTGCCTGCAGACAGCAGTGACTTGAAACCAAGTGTGTTCCAGACAGTTTTATTTAAACTGGTACATGCCACTGGTTGATCCTCAGTGTCAGAGAAATGAGCTCCGAGGAATGATTAGATAAACAGGGGATATTTTCCCTTGAAGAGAAATGTCTCTGAGGGGTTCTTGTAGAGATATAAGATTGTAAAACGGGATTGAAAAAGTAAAGCCAGAACAATATGTTCAAACATTCCAAGCCAGCAGAGGGTTCAGGGTTACAAAGGGCAACTTCAGGACAGACACCAGGAAATATTCCATGATACAGCGGATATTTAATGTCTGGAACAGGTAATTGGAAAGGGTGCTTGAGGTGACGTGAGGATGCCCGTCTCCTTTAAGAAGCAGCTTTATGTTGCAAAAATGGGAGGACAGTTAGGTGGGTGTTCTGGAAAGATAGATGAATGAGTCATTGGGTTTTCCCCATCCAAACTCCTTTTGTGAAAGGCAACACTTTTACTGTGACCCTGACTGAGAGCTAACTAGGGATTGAACAGGACCTCCTTGATCTACATGGTTCAGCCTCGCACAGAATGCAAGTGGCTTTACCAATGGCCAAAAGGGAAGATCTGTGTTAACCATCAGCATATTAATTATCAATGTTTCTGACAGAAAACACAATGGGATCAAACAAGCGGAGGTCACAACTTGGATTCACAAGGTTTCTAATTTCACTACAGATACACAGTCACTGCATTTGCCAGCAATTTCTTCTGAAGTGATTTGAGACATCTCAGCATGATCAGTGCTCTATCAAATGCAAGAATTATTAATTGAATCCTGCTAATAGCCAGATGTGCACCCTGCTGACCTGCAAGAACTTTGTTCTAATCTCCTTGTAGGGGCATCAGAACAGAGATCCCTGGGTTTAGTGTGACACATATTCGTTTACTGACAGGATTACAATATTTTCTGATCCTTTGTAAATCCTAGCTGCAATTCCCATGATTTTCCCCCAATGGTAATTTTGTTCAACCCTCCTTTATCAATGTATTTGGAGACTACGCCTCTCCACAGTTAGCTCCCAAATGAGGTTGTATACACACCAACCTTAGAATCCAGTGTCTGATCAATGGCCAAATGGGTAAAAGCATTATTCAGGCTGGAAAATTGCAGATTTGATTTCCCATCTGTGCTGAGTTAGCTGATCGCTGTTAGGGTCAGTACAATAAACCTCTGCATGCCTAGATTTGGTAGGATATCTGCCTGGGATCTCATTCCTGATTGCCATGCTTGTACACCTACTGCAAGGTGTGTGCAGAAGCAGGTTAGATGAGGACAAATTGTCTAGTTTCCCACATGAATGACTATGAGGAACTGTATCCCATTGGAATAGCGACACCTTTCAAGAGAGGGGAGAAAATGCAATATAATAACTCCTTTGGAAGAAAGGTGGATGAAGGTGATGAATAACAACATCTGTAAATTGGGAAATACTAATCCTTGCCCAATCTCAGGAAAGCACAACTGCCCTTAGAATACCTTCTCTTAGAGGATTTCCAAGCTTTGCCATAGAATAGTGAGATTCTTCATATATGTCAATTTTCCTCTCTTTGCCATTTCTTCTTGCAGGGGGAAGGACTGGAGAAGGGGTGGGGTGGTGGGGGGGGGGGTTGGCGGGGAAGAAAGAGATGGGTAGTGCTGAGGGGAGCAATTCCTGTAGAGTAGTGGTTAGCGCGCTCCCCTTGCAAGTGAGAGAACCCGGGTTCGATTTACGGTGGGTCGCAACCTTATGCAGGTTTCCTTACTCCACACTCCTCTGTTTAACTAGCAGTAAATAGGAACCCAGTTGTTAGTCGATTGGACGATCGCTTTCCAGGGCTAATAATCCCTCAATAAACAAATAATTTGGTCATTCAATCCACGACTGTTTGTGGGCACTGCTGTGTGGAATTGACTGCCTCGTTTCTCCCACAAGATACTCATGAAACATCTCAAAGATGTGATAAGGTGCTATATTAGATGCAAGATTATTATTAAGATTATTATTATGATGATACTTACTAAGTCAGTCCTTGACTTGTCTTTGGACCTTGTTGCAGCAGGAGAAAGCAGATATCTGAGAGAAGATGACCTTTTGGGGGTAAGCTGCACAGAAGCAGACAAAGCAAAAGCTGGCAAACAATAGAATAAAGCATAAAAGTAACTCTCGACTTTAATAATAGCAAATCTTGCAGGACAGCAGCTTTGAAAATAGATGTTTTCACCCACAAAATAGTCATTCCACTTTACAGCATATCCTGTGAAGCACTTTGAGACATCTTGACGATGTGATAAGCCGCTATATCTAATGCAAGGATTATTATTGTTTAATAAAATTGTCGGTGAGAAACTTCAGTACAATCTCAACCTTTTAATTTCTGAAAATACTTTGCATGTTACAGCTGTAAGATTATTTTAGGCAGCCTGTGGGCACTACACACATTTCACATAACATGCTTTCAGGAATTGACACATTGCTGAAAATACATTCATAGATGTTATTATTTCCAACATCACATTTGGGTAGAATTAATCTTTTTTTCTTATTTTTATTTTGGTCATAATGTAATGTTAAAAAAAATGCAAGTGGAAATCCAGTTGACGACAGAAAAGCCTGGATAAAAGATTGTCTAGGTATTTTTTTCAAGGACTCCCATTTGCTGAAATCTTATGGGTATTGAATTAGTGCCATATTTTAAACTTGTTGCTTTAGCACTTTGCATTGTATGTTAGATATCACAATATTTTAATTCGAAAGCATCTATTTTGAATTCTTTTTTGTACAATTTACATAAACACGACCATTGGTTAACCAAGATTTTTCTCCAGAATTAATCTTGGAAGCAAAAACCTTTTTTCTCCTACTGTTTGGACAGTTGCTTAGTTTATGGGGTTCTAAGATTAGAAAGCAAGTGCTCTGGAAAGCCCTATAATTATTTGACACTTTTGTTTTTTTTAACAAAAGCTGAATCCCATATTTGCTACCAGAATCCAAATCAGTATTAAATAAATGAGAAGCTGAATAAAGATTTGAACTCACACACAATACACCAAGATCAAGAATATAGTATAATCTACACTTAAATAGACTGGCATTCCTGCTATTATTATTTTACAGATAAGAGCACAAGAAAAGCTTAAATCCCACACTCAGCCCCATCCTGCCCTGCTATCTTTGAGGGGATGTTGTGGGTGATGTAACACTGCTTCATTTGCCTGGTGAACAGACAAGGGTTGTGTTGTAAACAGAACACAAGGCTTTTCTGAATTGATAAAAGTCCTCCAAATATTGGTACCTTACCCTCAATCTACCCTTTGCTGCTTATCTCCGTAAGTGAGCATTTTGATACTGACAAAGAAAGGGGAACAGAAGTGGTATCAAGTTCCTAAACTGGACAAGACGGGATGCAGCTTTGACTTGTGTTACACGGCAATACAGATACTGTATTTAGCAGTTCAGGTTCTATGTGTTTCTTGTTTCCTTCGTGAGCCACTCAGTCTATCTGCAGGCGCACGTCTCCACTGACATGTTGGGGTACACCTTTAAGACGACATTTTTGTTTTCGTCAAAGAAGAGAACGCTCAAAGCGTTCATTTTGTCAGGCACGCAGCAGGGCTCTGGAATTCCTGGAATAATCCCAACAGCTTTGACGATGCTCTGGATTGTTGCATGATTGGAAGGGCGAACCACCTGCAAATGAAAGGCAGAAAAATGAACTGAATGCATACAATCCACCTTCACTGCAAACCAATCCTATCACATACCAAACCCAAACCTTTGAATCATCTTTTGCATTTCGCTCACAAAATACACAAGTCACTACATTTTACAATATGTTCTGTGAAGTGCTTCGAGATGTCTCAATGATGTGATAAGGCGCTACATCAAATGCAAGTATTATCTTGGCGTGGTTCTTTGCATTTGAAAGAGCAATACTGTAGCGAATAACCTATCTACGTTTTTGTCTCTCAAATTTTTCAAGTCATATATGAGTCCTGTAGCTCAGTGGTTAGAGCATTTGCCTCGCATTCAAGAGACCTGGATTCAATTCCTGGCAGGGCAAAATGTTGGACAAGTTTCCTTACTCCACACGCGTCTGTTTACCTAGCAGTAAATAGGAACCTGGTTGTTAGTTGATTGTCGGATTGCTTTTCCTGGGGTAATATTTCCTTCAAAAATAATAATAATAAATTGTTCACTTAAAATCCACGACTGTTTCTGGAACATTGCTGTGCGTAATTCACTGCTGAGTTTCGCTCACAAAATATACAGTCAATTCACTTTACAGTATATTCTGTAAAGTGCTTTGAGATGTCTCAAAGACGTAATCAGCTGCTATATCAAATGCAAGGATTATTATTATTATTACACCAGATCGGTGTAGCAAGAGTTCAATGATGGAGATGTTAAATGATGTGCACTGAAATTATTGCTATAAGCTGAATCTGCATCACAAACAAATTGGCTTGGTATAATGGCTGGTATTCCAATCATACTGATTGACCATTAGCTTTCAGAGCTTACTTCAAAATAACACAACTTATTATTGCCATTATTCTCTGGGAGAATACTTTTGCTTCAAATATTATTTTTTGTACTTCCAAAAAAGCTCCAAATAAAACTGGATTGTGACTTTGCGGGGACAAACTGGAAAGTCTATGCAGTAAGACAATCTTGACTCTGTGCAGTTGTAGCTACAGGATGAAGGAAATGGTGAAACCATATGCTGGGAGGAAGCACTCATAGAGACGAATACTGCAGACCAGGAAAGCAAAGCATAAAGAGGAAGGGGAAGCGATATTTTTTTAAAAATAAATAAGCAATGGGATAGTAGCGTGATCCAGCAGAATTAATCAAAGGGCTAGAGAGGAAATTAATCTCCTTAAAAATATTTTCATCAAATTGAAGTTGCAACGATGATTGAATATTCACGTTGATCTTTTTTAAGCTATAACCGCAAGAGGAACGTAGAAGGTAACCATCCTGGCACACATTCATTCCTCCTTCCATGACACAAAATAAACAGTCAATTCACTTTACAGTGTGTTCTGTGAAGCGCTTTGGGACGTCCTCCCGACGTGAAAAGCGCTATATCAAATGCAAGGATTATTATTGTTATATCCTGCAAAGCACTTTGAGACATCTCAATTGTGTTATAAGGCACTATATCAAATGCAACTATTATTATTACAAGCTTCAGTTTACACCAGAAGCTCTGAGGTCTCAGGACTCACATTTTGCTTGGTCTGCCCACACTATCAAAAACGTGTAGGAGTGATTGCAATATTGGCACAATAATTTTTGCATTTTGTATATTTCACGTCTTTAACGGTAAGAACGGCATACCCCCAACCCCCAAAGCTCAGGGTTCCTGATCAGGTGTGAGAAGCGTGTTGAGACTTCCTGCTGACTTGAAAGGCGTTATTTAATTTTTGCCCACAACATATACAGTCAATGCACTTTACAGTATATCAAATGCAAGGATTATTATTAATAATTTGATGTTTCTGTGTCTATGTACGATTTGCATTTTCCCAGACTTCTGTGAGTGGTGATATTGCTCCAAAAAACTATCTCTCCCCCACCCCCACCACCACATCATTCCCAGTTTTAACTCGTTTGTCTCACATCTGGGTCGCTCTCACAATGTGGACAACCGTGTCTAATCAAACCCATGGGTGGGCTCAGTATCTGAGTCGCAGTTTAGAGAAGGGAAGTGTTTTCTGTAGCAGGAAGAGAGGTTACATACTTTTAAGTATATATATATATATATATATAAACACAATACGATCCTTTTTATATATGTGGTATTTTATCTGTGCCAAACGATAAGTGAATGGTATGTTTCCACTAACTGATGCACATCCGTTTGTTGCAAACTCCAGGGAGTGGATGGGTTTTGAAACGTGTCTATTTACACAGACATAACCGTATACACGTGAGTTTATGAATCATTTGTGAAGATGTTTTGCCTGCCATGTCAGTGATAAGCCTTGCAGTTGCGTTTGATGTAATAATCCTTGCATTTCATCTGATGCCCGCCTTATCGAGTCGGTGGCCCGTCTCAAAATGCTCTCAAACTAGTGACTATTTTCGTAGGCAAATTAGTCAAATAACACTTGCTTATCGGCAAAGGCTTGCTGTATACTTGGTCTTCTTGGGGGCTGCGGAAATGCAAGTTTGTCTCCAAATGTGTGTGTGTGGGGGGTGGGAGGGGAGGAGGGAGGAAGAACTTGGAAGCATTTTTATCACCAGGAATACAATGTCCAAAAGACAAGACTTTTAGAATTCCGCACATTTCACTGAAGACAACGAGGAAGAACAACAGAGCAGTTCGTATAAAACCTTCTCATGGAGGAATTAAAAAGCCCGAACCCCGATTTAACACGTTTTAAATGTTATTGGACCATTTTTTTTTCTTGTGGGAGGGGGTGGAAATGAGTAAGTAGCAATGCAATTTGATCCAGCCTGCCACACAACAGAATTCAACATCAGTTAGGCTTGGCTGACATCGCTTGGATCCCGACCCAACTGTCCAGCGCCTTGGGACGTCCTCTATAAATGCAATCATGTTGTTGCTGTTGTTGGAGCGAATGGATTTTTTTTAGAATTGGCCAACATTACCAGTCTAATAGGATTTGAACTCATAGGAGATTTAAACCCCGTTTATAATTCAGTGGTGGATAACCCGAATCTCCAGCCTAACCCCCAATGATTCCCTGTGATCAGGAATAAATCTCACAAATTGCGCAAAAAAAAAAAAAAAATCCTATCGGATCATTGCAGTCGTTCGTTAACCACAGAAACACAAATCCCGCCTGTCTTTGGGGGGGTTTTGTTTGAGTTAAACCGGTGCATATTTCTGCCTTCAACATAAGGGTGCGTTGAAGTTTTCGTGTGAAACCAGCCATGCAACAACCAGCCATGCAACAACCAGCCATGCAACAACCAGCCATGCAACATAACATGCACGTGTTAAGTGCAACTGCAGTCCGGCTGTTCCCTGAGTTGTGCCACTTTTATTGCACACTGTGAACTTCCACTCGAGGACTCCCATTTCCTCCAAAAACACGTGGCTAACGGGCGCTGTCAGTTGCTGAACGTTGTATGTCCCTTTCCGACTGAGTTGTCAGCTCAGGCAAACATCACCCCCGCTCCCCTAACACAAATTGATGAGGTTCCACGCCCCCCCACACACCCTCTCTCTCTTTCACTCTCTCTCTCTTTCCCAGTGACCTCGTCTTAAGACTTGAGATGTGCACATCTCACCCCACAAAGCGAGCTATTTCCCCACCTCTGTCACTTTTGTAAGGACCTTCAGTGGCTCAGACCAGCTTTAGCGACCTCTCGTTTGGACACGTTTCTCTTTGCTGCCCCCCACCCCCCCCCCCCCCCCCCCCCAAAAAGGCGCTATTTATACACGTGAGTTGTTGAAAACGAGTCGAGAGGGACAATCTGGGAGTTTTAATGCGTTTTCTTGACCTTTTGAGCTCCTACCCCCCCACCCATCCAGTCGTGTTGTCTTCCCCTATCCCCACTCTCACTCCCCATCCCCTCTACACACTCCCCCGACTCCCACCAGCCCTTTGACTCACGTCGGTTGGCTGGTGACTTGACAAATGACTTGCGACCCACCGCCTAACTAGTTTAATTTGTAAGTGCAAACCAGAGAACTCGGTGCATAAATAAGGAGAGCCTCCAAATAACAGAGCCAGAAATGCCACCCCCACCCCCTCCCCCTCCCCCCCCCCCCCCCCCCCCCCAATGCAAGTTCAGTGGCATAAAACATCTCTGCAAATACTGCGGAATTAATTCATGGCGCTAACCAGAACCACATGCTTAAAAAAGCCATCTGATAATTTTATTAATGTCCTTTCTCCCCCCCACCCACCCCCCACCATTACAAGCAACCTCAGTGACATGACTCGACTCGACCCCCCCCCCCCACCCCCCCACCCCCACAAAGTGTTTCAGTAACAAGTGTGCATCGCACTGAGTTTCCAAGCCATGAATCATTTCTGTTGCCCTCTACGCGTGGGTTTCCATCGTGACTTACGTGGGAAAATCTCCGCAAGCGTGTCTCGAATTTTGAATTAAAAATGCACAGCACAGCGGTAGGAAATGATAGGAAAAAAAGGGTTCGGTGTTATTCTGAGCCTGGAATTAGGAGTCTGCAAGTCACATCCATGCCATCCATGCGCCCCTATTTTTTTTTTTTTGCTTTCTTTCTTTTTTGGGGGTTTGAAGGAAAAGTGTGCCATGTCCTCAATAATTAGGTTTCGAATTATTTTCGAAAACAGCTTTGAAACTCCATGAACCTCTCTTCCCTTTGCGTGGTGGGGTTTGGGTGCCGGAAAAGGGGGGGTGGGGGGGGGGGGGGAGGTGGGGAACTGTGGCCAGAGCAGGTATCGGGGGCGACTCTGACTCCACTGTAACACTCCCGTGTTTTGCTTGAATAAAAATAATTGGAACCAGACGCCAACCGAGATTGAAACATTTACTTTCCCAAATGCATCACTGGCCTTCTGAACTCGCTGTGTGGACCGCCTTACCTTGGGGATGGGGAACTCGCAAGCTCCGGCACAGTAATAGGCGTCGAATGATTTGGGAGATAATATCCATTCGCTCCAACCAATGTCGGCAAAGTCTACTTTCAGGTACCTCCTGGAACAGATCTTGGGTTGGTTCCATTGCCTCCTGCGGGCTTTGCGCATGGTTTTCTCGTCGAAGCGCAGCACCTGAGACTTGCCCACCTGCTCGGAGTCGCCCTGGTCCTTGCGCCTCTTCTCCTTGCGGGGCACTTTGGGTTTCAGCGACTTGTAGGCGCTTTCCCACAGGTCGTGCTTGTTGTAACGGTGATACTCCACCCCGGGGAGCTCGTTGTTCTGCAGGGACGAGAAGTAGGTCTCCCTCCGGACACGAGACGTGTTGGGAGACTGAGTCGACTCTTCCTCGCTGGAAGGGAACGGGCCATAGCGCTGCAGGGTGACCACCACGCTGCTCGGCTCAGAAATGGCCAGGTCGTTGGCATAGACCAAGATGTAGGGCAAGTTGGCGGCTTGAGTCGGGCTTTGGAGTCTTTCACCGAAATCCAGCTCCACCGACAGCATCAGAAGCTCTCCCCTCCTCGCCTCCTTGGTGATGTGCGAGATGTCGTTCACGCTCCAAGTGCCCCTCCTGTGTGGGGTGACCGTCAGGTTTCCCAGCGCCTTCCCCACGGGCGAGGCGGGGGAAGCGCCCCTGAAGCTCACACGCACCGGGGGGGTCTGGTGGCTTTGGTGGAAAGCGCAGGAGAAACTCTTGGAGCGTTTGCAAAACTCGTGTCGGTTCCTCCAGCGTTTGGGCGTGAAAAAGTGAAACGTGGCGGATAAGATCTTCTCGGACTCTTGGATGGAGGTCAGGTTGAAATCGTACATCACTTTGTCACCCGTCACTTCTGGGAGAGAGGGTAGGGTAGGGTGGGGTGGGGGACAGAAACAAAAATTAACACTTTTTAACAGGTCCCAGCAAAAAAAATACCAATAGTTTTCAAATGAACCAACAGGTCTCTTAACAGGGATGAGTGTTAGTTTGATAAATCCTTTTTATGAAGTCTTTCTGCACTCAGGTTGCACACCACTCTGCGGAATGCCTTAGACTTCCAGAGTTACGATATATTAGGTATATATTAAAATATATATATTTAAATATATACATGCACACACACATACATAAACACACACACACACCAGTCCTTGCGCAGCGCACAAACCATTAACTTGTAGGGTAATTTTCCTGACAACCTCCTGTTGCCCCATGTTCCAATAAGGGGACTATTTTTTATTTTCACAAACGGTTTGAAAAGATATTAACGATCAGGCACGACCGCTCTGTTGCCATTTGAATGCTGCAGTATCATTATTATTATTATTAATTATTATTATTATTGGCACCGACTCCTTCAAGGTAAGCATAGCGTGGCGATTCCCTTTTTGTCAGCAGCAGCCTGTGTGTTGCGACCTTGGTTTTAACAGGGAAGATGTTGCATTATTCTGGGATTAACTGCAAGATTAGTAAGAATAGTTGATGCGAATTTGCTCCTCCCCATCTTTCGACGAAGACCCTTTGCATCGTGTCAGCTCCTCTCATTCTCTCTCCCCTCTCTCTCTGAATTATACCTTCCCCTCGATCAACACACGTTATCGCCCACAAAATATGCAGTGAATTCACTTCACAGTCTACACGTTTGAGACGTCTTTATTGTCCACTGACAATATTATTGCTATACAAATGCAATCTTGTTGTTGTTATTAAATTGACTATTATTCTTAACACAGTCGTGTTACTCTCTACAATTCCGATTTCTTTGGCTGGTACCCGAAGATGATGTTCCTGATTTCTGTGTAAAACAGTTTGAGGGCCTGTGATAACTTTTGGATAAGCGACGGTGAATTATTGCTCTTGATTTAACCACTTAAACATCATTTCTCCTTCTATTCTGAGGAGTTGCTACCGGGATTCCTCGATTGATTCCAGCACATGAAATCATAAAAAAGGGGGGGCAGCACAGAAAGAAAAGTACAAAGAAATGGGTACAGTACATTTCTCAGAGTTAAATTCCAAGGATGGGTCTAAAACACTGCTTTTTCTGCAAAGGCAAACACAACGGTAAACATGATCCAAGTGATATTTTCTTTTTGCTGCTATTAACTCTGAGCTCGGGGGATGATTTGGAGCTGGAGAAGAGACGTGGGAGGTACAGTAATATGAGAGAGAGAGAGAGAGAGAGAGAGAGAGAGAGAGCAGGTAAAAAGCATTCAAACCCAATGCATTTTCGACCCAGAAGAAAAAAAAAGTGAAGGCAGAGGTGACTGAAAGGGGGCGCTATTTCAGACCTCTTAATCTCACTTGGGCAGCTCGTCTAGATGGTAAGATATTTCCCCCCCCCACCCCACCACCCACAAATACCCAATGTGCAAACACACAAAGTAGAATTTTGCTTATTGATATTTAAAAAAAGTGTTCCCTCTGCAAAAATCTGGGCGATGATTTTTTTGTTGAAAAAACATGAATAACCTCTCGGTGTATGCCCTTAGTGAATTAATAGTCAGTCTCGTGTGTGTGTGTGTGTGTGTGTGTGACTGTTTGGGAGGTTGACAGCAACTTGAATAACTTCAACGGGACCTGAAGCGCAACACAACATCGATGCGTTTCAACCGAAACTGGAAACATAGGGACACTTCAATCGAGATGGTGATCCATCATAAAGCTTAAATAATATGTGTTTCTTTTAAGAAAAAAATGTGCGGAACAAGTGCAAATGGATCTACTTTTAAGAAAAAAATGTGCGGAACAAGTGCAAATGGATCTACCCCCCCCCCCCCCCCCCCCCACACACACACACACCTCCCCCTCTCCCCAATAATAATTATTCGGTCATTCAATCCCAAACTTTTTTTGCGCAATTGCGCCGCTGTTCGCGTTTGGTCCACAGCGAAACGGTCAATGAATTCACTCGACAGTATACGGTGTGAAGCGCTTCGGGGCGTCTCGGAGACGGGATAAGGCGCTCTCGATCAAATAACGGTCACGATCCTTGGCTTTGACATTGGCTCTGTTCGCGTCTTCCAGACGTCTCAAAGCGCTTCACAGCCTCTACCGTAATAAGATGAATTGACTCTCTACTTGTGGGCGAATCGCGGCAGACAAATTTTGACCAATTTTAGGATTGTTTTTTTTTCCCCCCACTCTCTCTTGAGGGATTATTATCAGGTGTGTGGAGTAAGGAAACTTGCCCAGGGTTTCCCCCCCACCACCCCCCACCCCCACCACCCCCCACCACCCCACCCAGGAATGAACCCCAGATCTCTCGCTTGCGAGGCGAGTGCTCTGAACCGCTCAACCGCAACAACTCCTCCAAACGCGAGACATTATGGAACACAACCACCGTACGAGTCCGGGCGTCGGTGACACCGCGATCCGATCCGATCCGATCCTGTGCTGTGCTGGGCTGTGCTGTGCTGGGCTGTGCTGGGCTGTGCTGTGCTGTGCTGTGCTGTGCTGGGCTGTGCTGTGCTGGGCTGTGCTGTGCTGTGCTGGGCTGGGCTGTGCTGTGCTGTGCTGTGCTGGGCTGTGCTGTGCTGGGCTGTGCTGTGCTGGGCTGTGCTGTGCTGGGCTGTGCTGGGCTGTGCTGTGCTGTGCTGGGCTGTGCTGTGCTGGGCTGTGCTGGGCTGTGCTGGGCTGTGCTGTGCTGGGCTGTGCTGTGCTGTGCTGGGCTGTGCTGTGCTGGGCTTACCCTCGCTCGCCTTGAAGCTCCGGACGGTGTTCCCGTCTCTCGGTCGGTTCCCCTCGCGGTTGTACTTGTCGTAGAGCTTGAACATGTGCACCGACACCATGTCCCGTGCGGCGCGACCCAGAGAGTAGACCGGTCCCGAGCGATCGGACTGGAGCTCCTGCAGACCGGAGACCGACGCCTGTTGGTACCCGAGGTGTCCGTCGCCTCCTGCGGCTTCGCTCCCGGTCGCGGGGAAGAGGAGGACCGTCAAACACGCCAACACCTGGAGCGGGTTCCGGCTTCCAGACCCGACACAGCACATCGTGTTGAGCTGCTGCGATTTCAAGGAGGTATTGAACGCCAGAGGGTGGGGTTGGGGTTGGGGTTGGAGTTGGGTTGGGGGTTGGGATTGGGTTGGGGGTTGGGATGGGGTTGGGGGTTGGGATGGGGTTGGGGTTGGAGTTGGGGTTGGGTTGGGGTTGGGGAAGGATATCCAGGTAGAGAGGGGGAAAAAAAAACCTTTCCAAGATCCGGAACTGAAGTAGGGGACGCAGTTGTAGAATGTTTAAATGTATACAGTATATATATATATATCTGTATCTATAAAAACGCGATCAACTTTTTTTTTTGGGGGGTGGGGGGTGGAACTGAACCATAAAAGTGTCACCGAAGTAGTTATTTGTCTGGTTAAGATCTCTGCTGTACTGTCGAGTCCTGGTAAGTTCGTTCCTTGTCCCAATTTCTCTGACTGTCTCTCTCTCTCTCTCTCTCTGTGTGTATGGGGTAGAAGTTTCTCTCTCTCTCTCCTTCTCTCTGCTCTCTCCTTCTCTCTGCTCTCTCTCTCCTCTCTCTGCTCTCTCTCTCCTCTCTCTCCACTTGTTTTCACGCGTTGCCGCCAGAAAAGCGAGATGCGAAACTTCTTTATTTTAGGCTGAAAGGTACCGATGACGACTTCTGCGCTCGGCCCAATGACAGGCCGGGGGTGCTGATGGCGCCAGCCAATGGGCACTCGTCCAGTAGAGGCTGGGCCGGAGCCCCAGCTCCCGAGAGGTGAGGGCGAGCGGTCCCTTTAAATCACCTGGTGGGGAGGGGGGCGAGAGCGAGCGGTCCCTTTAAATCATCTAAAAGGTGGTGAGGGATCCCTTTAAATTACCTGGTGGGGGGTGTGTGAAGGCGAGCGGTCCCTTTAAATCACCTAAAAGGTGGTGAGAGGTCCATTTAAATCACTTTTGGGGGGGGGTTCACCATTTGCATCCAATGAAGAGGTGCTGTAACGTTGTGGACCGCAGTGAAGTGATTATTATGAAGCAAATTATTCCAAATCCACCTTTTACGTTTCTTGTTTGTTTTATTGGCGAACCACTCTGCACAAAACTATTGTACAAGTATGTGGCGTTTTTTTTTAATCATCATATGCCTTGTTTTGCATAAATCTATTTTGTTCCAAGTAACACTAGGAGCTTCAGGAAGGGAAAGAGGAGGGGGAGAGGGAGATAAGAAAAATACTTTTTTGATGAAGGCAATATCCCATAAGGATGCATTTTTTTACATTATTTCTGAATTGTTTTGAAGATGGGAATGCAGGTATTTTTCCCCTCTTTCCCCTCTGTTTCCGATTTCCTTGACAGAATATTGCCTGAAGCTTTGTGGCTATAATGTGAGCTGGGATAGGAAGGTGTGTGTTAGGTGTCTCCAAGGTTTGTGCAGCACGTGTAGTCTTTGGTGGGTGAGTGTTGGCATTAGATGGTGAAACCCAAACCAGCACTCGAACCAACCCTCTCAATCTATTTTTGTGCTTCAGTGAAATCTTGAGAGAGGGTGCCAGCATTTAGATTTTTTTTCTCTCTCTTACAATGCAACATATTTATTTTAATTACTCCTTCATTTCAATTGGGATATTGTTTTCCCTTCCTTTCGCACTTCCATGTTATCTTATTTTCAATAAATGCAAATAAATAAATACATTTTAAAAAGTGCTAGGGTTGGGGGTGGGGGGTGGTTGAGGGGGGGCGGCATTAATTCCTGAAACATTTTAAACATAGTTTTTACATTGTAGGAAAGTTCAAATTCCAATGCTAAAGCCTGGGCTCAGCCCAAGGCTGCTTTGTCTGACGCTAATCTAACAGCCCCTCGCTCCTGCCTTTATTTCCCTTGGCCAATGCATTTGCTGCTCAAGCCAACCTCTTGAAGGTTCACCTCCTGCAGTCAATCAGGCCGGGAGCCAAAGTTTTTCTTCCACCTGACTCCAAATAACTGGCAGAGGTTCAGACTCCCATACAGTAACCTCCCACCCCCTGCCATTCCCGCTTGCTTTGCTTTAAAGCCGACCTCCACTCAGTAAATGCTGCATTGTAATAATAATAATCCTTGCATTTGATATAGCGCCTGATTACGTCATCGAGACGTCTCAAAGAGCATCACAGGATATACTGAAAAGAGAATTGACAGTGTATTTTGTGGGCAAAACGCGGCAGCCAATTGCGCACAGCAGTGTCCCACAAACAGTCATGGATTGAGTGATCAAATTCTCAGTTTATTTATTTTTGAAGGATTCACTACCTCCGGAAAGCGATCCCACCAATCGTCTAACAATAAGGTTTCCACTTGATGCTAGGTGTACACAGGCGGTGGAATAAGAAAACTAGCCTAAGGTTTCACCCTACTCGGGAATCAAACCCGGGTCCTCTCATTTGCAAGGCAAGTGTTCTGACCAATATGCAACCAGACTCCACTTGTATCCATTGGAGAATAAGTGTCTTAGTTTGTTTTGTCCAGCGAGCCCTTTTGTTGTGGTCAATGCACTAGGTAATTGTAAAACCTCTTGATGGAGTCTGAGTCCTTCTCTGCAGAGCTGCAGAAATGATGGAATCTGTTGTCTTCACTGGCACCAGAGTTTGGAGTGGCAGTAAATAGGTGTTTTGAATGATAGTTCAGTGTCTTTCTCCGAGATGATAACATAGGGTTCACAAGGTCCATTCATTGCACAACAGTGGTCAATGTGTCTACCCCATTGAGTCACAGCTATGTATACAAAAAACCGACTCCGCGGTACCTCTATCTCCTTCCCCCCCCCCCCCCCCCCCCCCAATCCCATCTCTCTTCATCACAACCTTTCATTTCTTTCTCTGTTTAAATGATCCTACTGTTGGGGACCTAAAACAGTAAGTACACTGATCTCTGAAATGACAAATCTCTTACCAAGTCCTTTAATCTTTATTCCAAAATAAAGATTTGTTGGGAGAACGATCAATGTACCCCACACCATATCAGCCGGTTCCGTTGGTAGCACTCTCATCTCTGAGTCAGAAAGTTGTGGGTTCAAGCTTCATGGAAGGACTTTGAATTCAAATAGCAGAGGAACGCGCTCCAGTACAGTGCTGGGTGAGTGCTGCGTTATTGGAGGTGCTGTCATTCAGATGAGATGTTAAATTGAGTCCCCATATTCAAGGGGATATTAAAGATTCCCATAGCATTACTCAAAAAGAGAAGAGAGTTTCTCCTATTGTCCTGGCCAACAATCCCTTAGATAAAATTGACCATTCACTTCATGGTTGTTTGTGGGACATTGCTGCGCACAAATTGGCTGACAACTTTGTCTACAAAATACCCAGTCACTAAACTTTACAGTAAATCCTGAGACATGTTGATAATGTGATCAGGTGCTATATCAAATGCAAATATTATTATTGCTTTTGCTCCTCTGAACATTTCTCCACTATTCATACGAAGCCCTAAATATGTTATCCTACACTCTTCGTCTGATCTCCCCAGGAAGAGAACACATTTGAGCAAAAATTGACCAATGGATCTCAATTTTGTGCTTCCTATTCCGCAATATTTTATCTACTGTGGGTGGATGGTTCCGAAGATCTGTGTGTGTGGTGTGTGTGTGTGTGTGTGTATGTGAATAGAATAGAAGTAAAGAATACCAATATCCTCATTAAAATAATTTGACATTTCCCATTCCTCGTGTTTACCTCTTTTCCCGTAATTCTGTTGTTTCTCCCCTGGCGATACTGGAGTGTTATCTCAAAGGCATTGGCTCCTGTCCAGTTTCTCGTCCAAGTGTCTGTGCTTTGTGTGTGAGTCATTCTAAAGGATGAAATTGACAGGCTTTCTGAGGGCAAGTACCCTATTACATATTGGTGCCACAGTGAATCAGAATATAGCCTTGTGGGCAAAATGCAAAATACTGCAGATGCTGGAAATCTGAAACAAAAACAGAAGTCGCTGGGAACACTGAACAGATGTGCATGGTAAAACCATGCACCTCTGGAATAATTCATGGGATTTTTGATGATTGGCCAACTTGTCTGGTTTCAACATGCTCTCAACCTTACAAGGCTACAAAAACAGAAGTTGCTGGGAACACTTAGCAGGTCAGGCAGCATCTATGGAGAAAGGAAAGTGAGTCAACTTTTCGTGCCAGTTCAATTGAAAGGTCACATCCTTAGCTTCCACATCCCTTCTCCACACACACACACACCGCCCACCATCTATTTGGCATGAATATTAAGCTATTTGAAACATCCTCTGAACATGAAAAATGCTGTGATGTGAAAGGCACTATACAAATGTAATCTTGTTGTTGTCTTTGTGTCGTCGTGAAATGTATTGCATTAATATCCTAAATAAGACTGAGACACTGAGAAAGGTTGATAGACAAAAATCAGTGCTTTCTTCACCTCATTCTTATTGTTGGACATACTTCCAGAAAGTGGCATAAGCAAAGACTTGTTACTTAAATAATACTTTCACCTCCCTTTTTAAATCTAATTGTCGCAGAGTTATTATAATTCCATTCCTGCCTATCGTTTAACATATTCACAGTCCATGTCAACAAACCCACTGAGGCACTGGTGTGAAGGAGGCATTCAATCAAACTATGTGTAAAACCTAAATTAGCATTGGTAGAGATACAATCACTCCCCCCCTCCCCCCATTCATTCCTATTGTGTCCAGGCCAACGATCCTTCAAATTGCTCATTCACTTCATATTGGTTATGGGATTTTATACTGTTCTCAAATTGGCTGCCGAGTTTGCCAAAGCACTACACTACACTTGACAGCAATTTCCTATGTGGCACTCTGTGAAATTGTGATATGCTGGGCTCAGTATCTTGTGCAAGGAATATGATCATTTCAGCATCAATTGTAAGCACCCATTCTTTTTAAGAAGAAATAAACCAGCACTCACTAATGCAATACAATTTACATTTACTGAGTGCCTTTCACATCAGGAGGACATCTCGAAGCGCTTGACAATCCTGGCTGGGAGCTGGGGGGTGGCAGGGGGTGGCGGGTGGGAGATGAGAAGGGGAA